TATATATATATATATAATCAATCAATCGGTGTATTAAAAAGATTTTTAATATAATTTTTTTAAGAGATTCTTAGGACAAATTTTTAGAGAAGTTTTTCTAAAAAATTATGACAAATTTTAAGACATAATTCATGTATTTGTCAAGAGTTGAAGGATAGAACAAGACAGTTGTTTTTCAAGAATTAGAGTTCTTTATCATCTTTAATAATTTAACAATATAAACATTAATTTTATGAATTATTAAAAATTAGTATGTTTAATAGCATCTCAAGAGGTCGAATATTTGGAGTGAAATTAATCTTCAATGCTATATATGCATAAGTCAAACTCAATCTAGTAGTGTAGTTGCAATGCTAGCACCTACTTTTAAAACTAGAGGTGTTCATGGATTGGTTGTTTTAAAAAATCGATTTAAACCAAATCGAACCATTTTATAAAAGTAAATCGGTTAACTGATTCATTTTTTATAAAGTAGATCGGTTTAGTTTTTTTAAAATATGGATCGTTTTTTTGAAATTAGATTGGTTTGGTGCAATGCAGTTATATACTTTTTATCATATATGGATCAGTTTTTTAAAAAAACTAAACCGAACCGAATCGATTCATTTTGTAAAAATGAATCGGATAACTGAACTGATTTTATAAAGTGGTTTTGTTCAGATTTTTTTTCAAAATAAATCAAATTTTTCAATATGGATCGAATTAGTTATGAATTGGTTTCCATCAATTTTGATTTTTTTTACACTCGTGCTTAAAACGAGTGTTTGCAAGAGGATTTGAGGAGATGATAGTGCGTGTGAAAGTAGAAAGTTGTACTTTGGGTGCAATATTAAACTTATTAAAGGGATTTTATGTGACCAAGATAATTCTCGCATGCATGTCGATGTGCGAGAAAAGAAAAAAGTGTCTTTGAAATTTTTAATGTTTATTTTATTATTTCATTATATTCGTTGGTTGCTTTGCACTTGTATTTTATCTCATATACAAGAGAAAAGTTCCTCAACCACGAGGAGCATTATGCTTAGATGGCTGAGTTGTTAATATTGGATCTATATATTTTGCTTTATTGACTTACTTTGTTGAATCAAGTTATTAATTTTTAATTCTATTAAAATATAGTTACCCCCACCACTAAAAAAATTGTAAACTTTAATTTGTCTTAATTTTTTTAATAAAAATAGACATTTTAATTCAAAAATATGATTTAAATTAATTTATCACATTTCAATTTTATTTAATGATTTAAAAATAAATTTAGTAAATTTAATTGCATTAAACTCTAAATCAAACATACAATTAATAATATTGCATCGATCTTTAGATTGTCAAGTGATGAATGAAACTATCTATCTCAAATAATAATTAAGAACAAGAAAACAAAGTTTGACTTATTATTTATCTTAATAATGGTGACAACTCTCCTTGTGTAATATTGTACATTGTTGTTAAATTGTTGTTTTCTTTCAATAATTGTGAGCTTAGGTGTTTTGGCCGTCTTATATTGAGAAGTTCTAAGAATTAAGAAATTCTCATAAGTTTAGGTTGTTCTGAGGATTTTTCAAGGTGAGGTGCAATCAATCTTGAGAGAGAAAAGATATATAAGGTATTTTTTAAGAATTGAGTTTCTTAAACTCATTTTCTCAAGAACCTTAAAGAGAGAATAGAGTGAGACATTATGGGAATAGGAGGTGAATTTTCTTTCTTTTGATTTCCGCAATGGATCTTTGATCCTTCACCTAGTGATCTTGAGTGTAATGTTGGTCATTTAAAGCCCTTAGAGTTGAGAATCAAAGTTGGTGTGGAGCTTTGATAGCAACTCAAAGTTTGTCTTTCTTCCCTCTTTCTCTTCTTCTTGGTTTGGAGATATTTAAAGGTAAAGGAAGTTAGAAACATGTTCTTGATGATTTGTATGAGTTTCATTTTGTTTGATTGTCATCAAATGTGGTTGCATTAATTATTTTTGGATTGTACTATGGAAGAGTTGCGGTTGGAATGTTTGAAGCATGTTGAAAATGATGTTGGGGGATTCTACCAAGTTAGTTGGTTGCATGTTGTGAATTTTGTGTAGTATGAGTTGTTGATGATGTATAAGTGTGATAGATTACATTTCATGCTGGTCTCCTAAGCTTTAGGTGAAGATTGGGTCAATTTGTGAGTCTATTAGGTGCAAAACCCAAGATGTGCCTTCTAGGCATCAAGCGCAGTTTCAACCAGAAGGTCTTTGTCTTGCACATGTCAGTGCATGATTGGTGTCATTGTGCATGAGGAGAGAGAATCATCTCAGGTTGAAATCACATCAAGTTAGATTTGAATGGTACTAGGCGTGAGGTGAGAGAATTGCCTCGAGTTGGATTAATGTCAGGAACCAAAGAAGTGACATCGAGCATGATAAAAAAGAATCATCTTGGGTTGGTTTGGGGTTGAGGTGGGGCCTTGCCACGCTTAACGTGAAGACCTAGGGTTCTCTACCTAATACATGCTGGGTGTGAGTTGTATGGCGTTGGGCGAGGTCAAGGCATAGACCTCCTTACCTTAATGGTGTCAAACGTAGGTTGGATAATGCTAGGAATGTTTAACTTGTAATGATGAGTTGTTTGCATGGTGAACATGGATAGGTTAGGTGAATCTATTGCATGTTGTATGTTGATTGGTGATGCATGTTCTATGTATATTGATTTGAGATGATATATATAGATGATTGTATGGTTAAATTTGTGAGATGCATTAGTATGTTATAAATTCAATAATGGTGTAAGATCTATATCCATTGACCTAGGGTACACTAGTGGAAAAAAGGCTTTTAAAATCAGTTATTTTTAACTTTTAAAATCAGTTCTGTAACTGATTTTGAACGAGCCAATTTTAAAAGTTAGACTTTTAAAATCAGTTAAACAACCGATTTTAAAAGTTAACTTTTAAAATCGGTTGTTTTATAACCAATCTTAAAAGTCTGGGTGAAGAAAAAAATTAAACTGAAACGGGCCGTTCCAGGCTATTCAAAAGGCCTAAAAAGTTAACTTTCAGTATGGGCCGTTCTCCATGGAGAACAGACCGTTCTCCTTGCAAAACGGCCCGTTCTCCTTGCAAAACGGCCCGTCTCCTTGTAAAACGGCCCAATCTCCTTGAAGAACTGGCCGTTCCAGGTTTGAAATTTACCCAAACTGAACCTACAACGAAAATAGAAATGAGAAAAGTATGAGAAAACGAAAAGAGACACAAGAAGAACATGAGAAGACGAAAATGAAAATGAAAACGACAACGAAAATTACCTTATTGGAGACTTTAGAAAATGAAAGCGTCAAAGAGTAAAGAAAGGAATGGAGGGAAAGATTAAAGAGAATGAGAATGGAGGAAAATATAAAAGATTTCTAACGATACTTTTAAAATCGGTTATTTAAGAACCGATTTTGTATACTACATACAAAATCGATTCTGAAATAACCGATTTTAAAAGTAGTCTTTCAGAAAATAACCTATCTTAAAATTTTTTTCATACATACCTTTTAATATCTTTCATAAAATAACCTATCTTAAAATTACTTTTAATATCTTTTATTTTAACCGATTTTAAAAGTGTTCATGTTATTTACAA